GAAAGTAAATTTGTATTATGTAACTAGTCGGATAGGAAGTACATTTATATTATGTAACTAGTCGGATAGGAAGTACACTTACATTAGGTAACTAGTCGGACAGGAAGTACACTTGTATTATGTAATTAGTCGGATAGGAAGTACACTTATATTAAGTAACTAGTCGGATAGGAAGTATACTTATTTTATGTAACTAGTCGGACAGGAAGTAAACTTATAGTATGTAACTAGTCGGACAGGAATTACACTTATATTATGTAACTAGTCGGATAGGAAGTACACTTATATTAGGTAACTAGTCGGATAGGAAGTATACTTATATTATGTAACTAATCGGACAGGAAGTAGAGTTATAGTATGTAACTAGTCGGACAGGAAGTAGACTTATATTAGGTAACTAGTCGGACAGGAAGTACACTTGTATTATGTAACTAGTCGTATAGAAAGTACACCTATATTATGTAACTTGTCAGATAGGAAGTACACATGTATTATGTAACTATTCCGATAGAAACTACACTTATATTATGTAACTAGTCGGATAGTAAGTACACTTATATTATGTAACTAGTCGGATAGAAAGTATACTTATATTAGGTAACTAGTCGGATAGAAAGTACACTTATATTCGGTAACTAGTCGGACAGGAAGTACACCTATATTATGTAACAAGTCGGATAGAAACTACACTTATATTGTGTAACTAGTCGGATAGGAAGTACACTTATATTATGTAACTAGTCGGATGGGAAGTACACTTGTATTAGATAACGAGTCGGATAGGAAGTACACCTATATTATGTAACTAGTCGGATAGGAAGTACACTTATACTATGTAACTAGTCGGACAGGAAGTAGACTTATATTAGGTAACTAGTCGGACAGGAAGTACACCTATATTATGTAACTAGTCGGATAGTAAGTACACATATATTATGTAACTAGTCGGATAGAAAGTACATTTATATTAGGTAACTAGTCGGATAGAAAGTACACTTATATTAGGTAACTAGTCGGACAGGAAGTACACCTATATTATGTAACAAGTCGGATAGAAATTACACATATATTATGTAACTTGTCGGATAGGAAGTACACTTATATTATGTAACTATTCGGATAGAAACTACACTTATATTATGTAACTAGTCGGATGGGAAGTACACTTATATAAGGTAACTAGTCGGATAGGAACTACACTTCTATTATGTAACTAATCAGACAGACAGGCAGTACACTTTTATTAGGTAACTAGTCGGATATGAAGTACACTTATATTAGGTAACTAGTCGGATAA